CCATCAGGCATTAAGAAAAGAGCATTAAATAGACTTGAGGATTCTCCATCCTRTTAATAACATTGCACAAGAGACAGACAAATATTATRTCAACTTTCAGTTGATAGAGTGTAAAGTTATTTTTGCCTCGCCCCTACGTGAGATATTTATCGAAAAATGATTTTGTCTTCGACCCTACCATTCATTGAAAAGAAAATCCTGATTTTCTGTTTGGAGAAGTTTGTTTACATCATACCTGTAATTATGACAAACGATGCGAAAGACTTCATCTTTCTGTTGTTTCTTTGCGGTTGATCGTTTTTTTACAGACATGTAAGTAGCAGTTAATTGTAAAGAAGGTAAAAGGAAATTATGGTCTAGAGGGGGTATGATTGCATTGACGTGAACACCAGACACTATCACGTAAAACGTCAAGGAAAGTCGGGAAGATATTAATCAGTTTTTTTAGAATTCTCCCGGAATAATTAAGCTAATTATACACGACTATAGTATATGAAAATTCATTGGATGCTGAGGGAATTCCATGACAAAATTTCATGAAGAGACCATTTTATTTCGTTAAACCTGTTTAACCCAAAGCTACTGTTACAAAAATGGTTAACACAAAAAGTAAGCCTGATAAAGGAATCCCTGGAGAGCCACCCATTGGATTACTAGTCGTCTTAGAATCAGGTGGACCGRCTGTTGGTGGTGAGGTTGGATCGACGCCATTGGTACAAAATGGATTGTAGTCACCCAATGTTAACGTCATCAATGTCTTGAACCAATCGATAGACGAGTAGTCACATTGCGAATCAATRACATYYCTTACACAATCCTTAGACACCTTGTATTCCCTGGAAACAAAAGATAAATAGARGATATTACATGGGCGCGCGGAGATACGGATTTTATCTTCGAGTGTTGAAAAGATCAAAATCTCACGAGTGAACGTAGCGAACGAGTGAGAGATTTTCAACACGWGAAGATGAAATTCGTATCTCCAATTAAGCGACCATTCATATATTCATATATGAAAGCAAATTGTGTCGTGAAATACCTTTTTTTATTTGAAAATAATAACTTTTCGAAAGAGAGAAATACTAGGTATTTCATAGATAATTATATGATAACAAACAAAGCAAACAAAACAAAATTTGTGAATAAGAATAATTTTCAAAAGAATAACTTTCATATTTCATATTCAATTTTAATATTTCTTTTCACTGAGACTTACCCACAGATCTTTGGATCAGCTCTATTAGCGGTCCAAAGCGACAACATTTTGTTTGAGCAGTTATTGATATCATCGGTATATTCCTTTTCGCTAAGCTTACATGGAAGCGAGGCATTGGGTCCCATTGAACCAGGGAACTGGACACCAGCTTTGTCACACATGATCTCCTTCGTCATCATTTGCTGTAACATCTTTTTAATCAAAGCGATGTTGGTTCCAGGCGGCATGCACACTTTGATGGTACCCACAGCGCAGTCGGTCAGGTTTTTTAGTTCATTACTGTTGGAAAATATCTGATGAGCTTTTACTTGTAGTAAAAAGCAGAATATCATGCGAATATTTATATTGGGTTAGCCTGCCTGAGTATCGGGCTCTCTCGAAGGGGTTTGGGGCGGTGCGAGAAGGGAGACTAAAGGCTCTCTCTCCCTTCTCGCTCCGCCCCAAATCCCTTCGAGAGAACCTGGGGGGCTTCTCTATATATCTCTTCTAAGTATATAGCTATTTAAAAAAAGTTGTCAGTGCATAACAACGATTGCATGGCAGAACGCTTATAGATATAAAATGGAATAAATTTGTCAGTTTTATATGACATTTTCCCCCGTTTTTATTTTTATTTTGTTTTTTATTTTTTATGGAGTGCGCGTTCTGATTGCTGGTTCWAACCAATCAGAGTAGTGCACGTAATTAAATGGCGTCAGGTTGTCGACTAATCCAAAAGCTATATAGAGAGATCGAGTAGAGATAGATAGACAAACCTTTTGCACCATAGTATGTATTGGGCAGAATGCAATCTGAAGAATTACTATGTAGTATATAGTCATTTTGGGCAAAGAGAACTCAGTAGCTAGGCGTGGCTTCTGAGCCCATAATCTTTTGCAAAATTGTGTGAAGCACTGTCGCTATGATTGTGTTACTACAATCTCCCCTCCCCTTTTACAATGTTGTTCGTCAATGAATTGCTACAAAATCGACAAGAAGGCGAAAGGAACGTGTGAACAACCTTGCAGTGGGGAAAGGTGTTCCGTTATTTTTCACATAAGATTGTAGTCTAGGAAATAGWGTATTCGCTTGTAAAGCGCTCACTTATACAATAGTTAGTACTAACTATGCTTATACGTACGTGCAGTCAGACTTCGGGTCCTTCATCATAGAGCGAATAAACTCTGTATTACATGAACGGACGTCCAACGTGAAGTTTGTGTACGAGCATTTACCGATCATAGGAAGCTGGGCTTGACTGCATCCCAAAACTGCTGAAATACATATAAACATATCTAAAACAGTCCCCATATTATGTTCTATTATGCGYTGTCAAGGCGAACGCGTCCACTGATGGCATTGGTTAATAAAAGCTCGACTGTAAGTGTTTTAAACCATGCTTTCATTTCGAAAGGGTTGCGCAATTTCCGCCGGTATTTTTATGCTGTTTTCAAGTGAAAACTTTGTGCATTAAATTTACACGTATAGATTTTTTACAGTATTTTTGCAAATGATGATTTATATTACATTGACATTACATATTTTTTACATGAATGAATGATTCATCCATTGTAACTTGCCTGACGAAACCAGCTTGTAGCAATAAAACAATGAATCATTCTAGTCTTTAATTTCATTTTATACAATGCTTCTTGACAGTTGAGCACTTTTTTGAAAACATTTTCGATAATTTTAAGTTAAACAACAATATATGGAAGAGATGAGGAACATATATTTTAATTTGTTATCAAAAAAAATAACATGTACGTGATAACAACGTATGAAGCGGCTGATATGACAACGAAATTATATTATGAAATGATTGGCATTTGTAAATTTATGTCAACGTTAAACATTAACCATGCCTTGAGCAAACACCTTCACGACACTTACATGTGCTTTGTAACTGCTCAGCATCATCACGAATAATAATTGAAGATATTATAAAACTCTAAAATAGTCCCCAATGTATCATGAAGTATATCACAATCTGTTTTTGCGTGGTTTTAGTAGCGCGTTTTGACAATGTCCAGGCACACGACATTAGTCCGGTTTGAATCTCCTTCTTTTGTCGACTCCTTTTTTAACRATTGKCTCTCTASTGAAYGCCATCATAYATCATATACAATAACAACTTCTCATATAATCAACTATCATTTTTTCCTTTTCCTTAAACTACGTGAAGGTTTGTAACAACCGCTTTGTTGGAATCTGGAATATAATATCAAACCTAAATCGRTGCTCTTAGCTTCAATTCTTCGCTAACACTTTACAAATATGATTGTATATGCCTCTATCTTTATACCGAGCCGTTTTGAACAAAGAAACAATTAAACCTGGAATAAAGTCGGTGGTCTTGTCAAGGTAAGGTCGATAAGCATAGGTTATGTTTACCTAACAAAGCGCCTTGTAATCAGTCCTCACTAAACTCAACTCGAGGAAATTCTAATCATTTATCGATCCTGTATTGATTCATACCTGCAAGAACTAGTAGTATCAGGACTTTCATGGTTTTGATTCACAGGAAATCACGGTCGATTCGTAACAGTACCAAACAGACCAGAAACGCCCTCTAAAATGTGCTTTTAAAATGAGCTTTTAAAAGGCTCCAATTTCAGTTAATCTTCACCACAGGTAACCCGAAAGGATCATTGAGACATTAGATGCGGTCGCTGGTGTCTCCGGTAAAAAAAGATAAACTGTGTTTTTTTTATTATATCTATAATAGGTGATGTGCAGCGATTCCATTTTATGCAAAGAGAATAATGTGTGTTGCAGTATTCGCATCTTTTCAAGTCCGCTGCAACAGTCTGCCTGAGGCCGTTTTAGTTAAATTTCTTTTGAAATAAGCAGTCGTGCCGTTTCTACAAAGAAAACATGAAAACGGCTTTTAGGGAGATTTTTCAGGGGCTCAGGAAAACTGGGGACCACAACTACCGTCGTGGTTTGTTCCACAAAATGATATAATACACATTAGAATATTTGGGCTTCCTGTGGTGATTCAATCCGCCTCAGCGCTTCCCGTCAGGTCGCCAAACCAACATTGACTTGAGTAGCTTTGGGTGTGTTATTGATAAGCAAAGGATTTAAGAAAGATTTCAAGATCAGTATTTAGCCTGGTAAGTATATAATGACAGACTATAGTCAACCATTTTCGATATACTTTAGCTTTAGGGTGATTACGGCGGACCATTATTTTTGTTCAACGACGGCGTCCAGGTGTTGTCCAGACATTGTCCAGATAATTTTGAGATTTTGTCCAGGAGCAAAGCAAATTTGGCAATGCCAAATATTAAAAAAATCCTTTTTAAGCTGAAAGGTTTCAATATATTACGAGTTCCATATATGATTAACAAATAAAGACGTTTTTTTCTAACATATAGTTTTCAAGCATGGCCGTATGCAAATTTGAGAGTTTTGGGGATYAAATATTGTTTGAAAATATTCATATGTTAATTTCACCATATTCCGTTGAGCAATAATACATAAAACTAGTGTGAGGATAGACTATTTCAGCACTAGTTCTTTCTAATGTTCAATAATCATTCATACATGACCTGACGTTTATCATAAACGCGATCAGTATAATTTGAGTAATAGTTATCTTTTGCACGTAGAACACGGTCATGATGTTGTTGGTATTTGTAACTATTACACTATGGTGCTATGGCAATGGTGCTGATGTGAAGTGTATGGGTGATGCCATGTCGAAGCCAAAGATAGATAACAATGACACATGTCTTCTTGCATGTGGGCCTAAGGAGAAATGCTATTGTGATGATACATCTGCAAGCAAGTCCTTTAAAGGTAAGAAAAGAGCCTCAGAAAACCACTGTTTCATCAGCGATGAAGAAATTAAGTTGAAAAAAGAGCGCACTATATTCAGGCATCACATATTGGGCGCAGCACTGGATGCGCGTCAAATTTAGAGCGTCGTGTGCGGCGAAATGATTCTCGCGTCTTCTTCTTAGTCAAATTATATTATCAACACAGTCAAAATCATAACTGAACATTTAAATGAAAAGAAAAACATTTATCATTTTTCACAAATTATGATGATCACCGTCATTATCAATTGCAGATTGCAATCAGCAATGCCGCGCGGCGAAAATGCCTAATAATGAAACCATCCAAGAGTGCTCTGACATGGAATGCAAAGGTTTTGATGTCTGCTATCAAGGATGCTTCGGCACTCGCTGTCCAAAGGCTTATTGCAAGTCGAGAAAGTCTTGCAAYCAAGAGTGTGCTGGCCAGTGTACCAAAYTAGTTTGCTCSTCTCCAGAGTGCATTCAACAATGTTCCAATTGCACAATGGAGTGTACAAGTGAGGTGAAAAAGTGCGGCCATTTCTGTAGAGGAGGTCACTGTAAGTCTATTTGTGGCAAGAACTCCGAATGCAGTTGTGAAACGTATTCAAACCCATCAACAAAATGTACAGTGGTAATTGTCGCACATGCTGCTAAAGTCTCCGCTCCGTTCTTCGTCTATCTCATTGGACTTTTTTTCTTCGTAAAAAACATAGCTAAGCTTATTGATATGTAAGTGGGCTTGTAACAGTCTGCCATTTTGTTAGACAAAAGGCACGAGAGCCTTTGAGGCAGACATTGTTATGCAGGCATAATGAACTATTTATAAACGAAAGAACTGTAAATTGTTAAAATCTGTATGTAAAGCTCCAATAAAATCATGTTGAAGTCTTGATTCAGAGTGGTTCTAACCTCAATAACTCCTATATCTTCGATACCGCTGGTTCCTAACATCGCGGTCTCAAAATATTTATTTTGGGCAACTGTTTATATTGACCGCAGAAAGGGTGCATGCAAAAAGCGAAATTAGAAGTCATTTATGGTAAGTAGAAGTAAATGTATTTTTATTTAAGTAGTTWAATTATAATTGTATTGTACTTTTGTGGTCAAAGCTCGTGGTAGAAGTTATTTAACKTTAAGAATTCTGTTCAATAATGTCGCTCGGACACAACTACATTGTCAGTTTTGTAGTTCTTGCGCAAAATTATGTTTGCTTAATATATCGCTATAACGTTGATTTAAAATATGTTGTTTAGCAAAACGTTCTGAAGAAACAAATGGAATCTTTTCTGCTTGACTTGTTTGGTTTTATTTCAAGTGATAGATTCGTATTTATTGTACATCAAATTGCCCTGGATCAGTTGATTGTCGGATTGTGCGGTTATAAGAATCAATTCTAAGTTTAGAATTTCTACTGCTTTTGAATTCAGTGGTTCAGTGGTTCTACGCATTTATTGCGAGCATTTGTTTGTGCTTAGCTGTCTTCAAAATACATATGTTGTGATATGATAAATCATTTTAAATATTAAAAAATAACTATCTTCTCTATTTAATATTTCCAGTATAAACTAAACTTATATGATGTGCAGAAAAAACGTTTTAATATTCGATGAGAAAGTATTATTAAAAGTGCTGGAGACTGTGCAAATTCATTAAAGTAAACAGCTGGCTGGTTTCATATGTTAATTAATGTTTTATGAATGCATATTCTGAAATGTATTAAAAAGTTTTCTTAAACTTCATGACATCTTATGCATAACTTTGAAGATCAGAATCCTATAAAACTAAATATCTTTCCTAGTATAGGATAAGTTAGACTGAATTCTATTTTTTATTATTGTTATTGTTTATATTTTTCATTGTTTTTATAATTTATATTTTTATGATAATAAATTATTAAAACATGTTTGTATCCATCAATCATTGTTAGGATAAAGAAATTCTTTAGTAGTTGTGTTTATTGACAATAAAAGAATTTTTTTCTTCATTTAGAACATGGTTTATAGAACTGGTTTACTTGCTATAACARCATTAATAATTCTTCTAAATCTGTCCGTCTGCTCTGGTCTAAAATGTACTGGTGGAGTTTACACGTCGGTCAATACTAAATGCCAACTTTATTGTGGTGAAAAGGACAAGTGCTTGTGTGCAAAAGATGAAAACCCTTCCAATATTGATGGTAAGACAAGGACTTTATACTTATAGCCAGCTTTTTGCTTTCAAATTATAGCAGAAATATTTTATAAATGTAATACAATTAGTAGAGTAAGAAACTATGAGAAACTTTTGTTAACTTTATACTGGTTTCACATAGTTCTCCTTTTATGTATTACAAGATTAACAGCTATTTTTTAAACCAGCAAATAATATTTTCACTGTCAACAGATGCAATATAAAACAACATTATGACAGTTACTATGGTGTCTGAATAGTATAGTCTGCATATTATAAGTAATGCCCCGAGTAAGAACTAGGGAAGCAAACGGTAAAGGAATGCAAGAAGGTGCTAATTGTGCATTGTAATAATCTATCCAATCACATTGGTTAAAACATGAAAATCTGCTATAATTTTACAAGTTAGCACAATTTCTAATATTTTATTTGATGTCTGTTTTCACTTTCATGAAAGCTTAATTCTTTAGCTTCAATAAAAGGCAATTCTACGTGGGGAACATAGCAAATTAGAAGCATCTTTTGGCTATTGTTTTGAGCGCTAAAATATGATTGGATATAGAGCTTTTAATACAAAAGAAACTTTGTTTCAAAATAGAGTTTATCTACATTTTATTTCAAAAATGTGTTACCCATAGGTTGATATATAATCAGTGTGAAAACCAAGACATTCGCGCGTGGGAAAGTTGCAATGCCGCAGAACAATAGTGAGTTCCCTTAAGCGCATTGTTACTTAATAGTATACTGCATATTAAATTACATGTTATCTATGTTACAATATGATAATTCTAAATTCAATTCTTAATTTACATAATTTAAAGTTTTTGCCTATACACAGGGTTCGCGCTACTCCTTGAAATCCTTGAAAAGTCCTGGAATTGAAAACTCGTTTTCAAGGGCGCTTGAAAAGCCCTTGAAAATGGGAAAAATCGCTAAAACTCCAGGAAAACTCCTTGAATCTGATGAAATTAACCTTTTGCCTTTTACCATTTGGATTGAAATCTGGCTATTTTAGAAATCACCACTGTAAACATTTGCAAACATCAAAAAAATATATTCAAAGATAACTCTTGAAAATTGCATTTTTGTGCTTAAAAAGCACTTGAAAAGTCCTGGAATTTTGTAGTGAAAATTTTGCACAAACCCTGTATACATGAGCTGGTAAATTCCTTTTGAAATACAATAGAAAGACCAGCAATGCATTGGGGTCTTGCATTAAATGCACTATTGTCCATTCTATTAGACTTTTGGATATGGTTTTCAAATAATTTGAATATTTTTAACCATCTTTTCTTCAATAGGTTGCTTACAAACATGTACTAAGTCTTCTGCAATCCCTAGCAAACCTAACATCACAATTAACAAATGTCTAGACATGGAATGTACTGGACTGAAATCTTGCCACCAAGTCTGCCGTAACCAAGAATGCAGAATGCAATGCAAATCCACAGATACATGTATCCAAGAATGCAATGGAGGTAACTGCACAAAACTAGTCTGCTCTGCACCAAGATGCAATCAGCAATGCGAAGGCTGTACAATGGAGTGTACAAAAGATGTAAAGGAATGCAACCAGCAATGCCATGGAGGGACATGTCGCTCTGTGTGTGCAGCTGGGAAATGCCATGCTAGCTGTGTTG